AGCGGGACAGAGCAATATATATATATATATATATATATATATATATATATATATATATATATATATATATATATATATATATATATATATATATATATATATATTATATATATATATATATATATATATATATATATATATATATATATATATATATATATATATATATATATATATATATATATATATATATATATATAAAAGTCTTAATCAGTTGAGTATGTAAATAAAATAATGAATTATATTTATTAATTAATTATTTAATTGAATATGTGCTTAAATAAAAGTGGATGTCAAGATAATCCATTTCGAAATAATGAGAATTCTAAATGATCATCATTCTATATATAGGCTATGATCTCAAATATATCATGCTATATGAAGATTATCTCTTTTTATCCCCATTCGAAGAGTTTTCAAGACATTACGAGTACCGAGTGAGAAAAATCCACAAGCCAACCAGTGTCAAACACTTGTCTCTACACTTTTGTATTTTAGAATTATCGTTGTCATTGTCTAAAAACCTTTCTCATTATATTCGTCAAGGTATTCCTGTAATCATTAATATCAAAATGTCATAGATCCTAAGGTTGGTGTCCATGGGGAGACGCTTAAGCTCTCCCAGCGTGATGAGCTAGGCCCTCCACGACGGAGAGATGGATTGGGGCGACCCCGTGTGATGAGCGGGACAGAGCAATATATATATATATATATATATATATATATATATATATATATATATATATATATATATATATATATATATATATATATATATATATATATATATATATATATATATATATATATATATATATATATATATATATATATATATATATATATATATATATATATATATATATATATATATATATATATATATATATATATATATATATATATATATATATATATATATATATATATATATATATATATATATATATATATATATATATATATATATATATATATATATATATATATATATATATATATATATATATATATATATATAAAAAAGAGACTTAATCGGTTGAGTAAGTAAAAAAAATAATTAATTATATTTAATAATTAATTATTTAAATGAATATGTGCTTAAATATATATTTATATATATATATATATATATATATATATATATATATATATATATATATATATATATATATATATATATATATATATATATATATATATATATATATATATATATATATATATATATATATATATATATATATATATATATATATATATATATATATATATATATATATATATATATATATATATATATATATATATATATATATATATATATATATATATATATATATATATATATATATATATATATATATATATATATATATATATATATATATATATATATATATATATATATATATATATATATATATATATATATATATATAAGAGACTTAATCGGTTGAGTAAGTAAAAAAAATAATTAATTATATTTAATAATTAATTATTTAAATGAATATGTGCTTAAATATAAGTGGATGTCGAGATAATCCATTTCGAAATAATGAGAATTCTAAATGATCATCATTCTATATGTAGGCTATGATCTCAAATATATCACGCTATAAGAAGATTATCTCTTTTTATCCCCATTCGAAGAGTTTTCAAGACATTACGAGTACCGGTTGAAAAAAATCCACAAGCCAACCAGTGTCAAACACTTGTCTCTACACTTTTGTATTTTAGAATTATCGTTGTCATTGTCTAAAAACCTTTCTCATTATATTCGTCAAGGTATTCCTATAATCATTAATATCAAAATGTCATAGATCCTAAGGTTGGTGTCCATGGGGAGACGCTTATGCGCTCCCAGCGTGATGAGCTAGGCCCTCCACGACGGAGAGATGGATTGGGTCGACCCCGTGTGATGAGCGGGACAGAGCAATATATATATATATATATATATATATATATATATATATATATATATATATATATATATATATATATATATATATATATATATATATATATATATATATATATATATATATATATATATATATATATATATATATATATATATATATATATATATATATATATATATATATATATATATATATATATATATATATATATATATATATATATATATATATATATATATATATATATATATATATATATATATATATATATATATATATATATATATATATATATATATATATATATATATATATATATATATATATATGAGTCTTAAAGGGTTATGACTTCGGTTGATGAGTTCAATGATTGTGATATATTTTATTTTCTTATTTAAAATTTTTAATTGTAAATTAAACTCTTGCGCTTCTTTATGAAATTTCACTAAGAAAATACGATATCATAACAGTTGCTGATATTGACCGTGGTGGTAGCTTCATAATATTATACACTCCTAGTTAGCTTGTCTCTTCAGTATCCTTTTTTCCATTGAAAATAAAAACAATATTGTGAAACAATACACGGTTTCAACCCTAAACCCTAACGTTCAATACTGTGAAGCAATACACAATTTCTCTCCATCTTTGAGCATATCCTCTGAAGGATTCATTGTCTTCTTGAGATAAGTCTAGCAAATGCAGGAGGCTGGAAGTCAAATCAAGATTGTAGTTGTATTACTTCACAGAGACATTAGCTAGGCGTGACCATGATTAGATGTGGCTACTCTCTAGCTGCATGTACCAATTCAGTGATGCCCCACACTATGCCAAAAAAGACCTTTAGCACGTTTTTTTTGGCATTTAGCAGCGCTTAAAAGTGTTGCCTAAAGTGGCACTACTAAAGGTAAAGGCAACACTTTTTTAAAGTAAAAAGCGCTGCTATAGGCCCACTTTTAGCAGCGCTTTTCTAGAAAAGCATTCTCGTTCCCCCTCCCCCTTTTAGCAGCGCTTTTAGAAGCATTTTTATTAAAAAGCGCTCTCTATTCCCCTATTTTTAGCAGCACTTTTAAAAAGCATTGCCTAAAGTGTATTTATTGAATACCTTTAGCAGCGCTTTTCTTAAGAAAAGCGCTGCCTTTTCCCCCATCTTTAGCAGCGCTTTTTAAGCCACTATTTTCCCCCTATAACAGCGCTTTCAGAAGCGCTCTCTTCCCCCCTCCTTTTAGCAGCGCTTTTTCAAGAAAATCATTGTCTTTTCTTCACGTCATTGATTTTTTTTTCAAAAAAATCACTTTTTTATAACGTTTTTTTGGTAAAAGCGCTGTCTATTTTGCATATTTTTTTGAAGGGATTTTTGTTGAATTCTGTTGCACAATTCTTTATATTTTTTCCCATAAACCTGCTTATAAAAATTACATTCACCACAAGCCTTTATTTCAACACTTTGGCCTTATATATACCATAACAACTCAACACATAAACCTGTTTATAATCATTGTAATTCAACATATAAACCTGCTTATAATCATTGTAATTCAACACAAGTCTTTATTTCAACACACACACACACACACACACACACACACACACACACACACACACACACACACACACACACACACACACACACACACACACACATATATATATATATATATATATATATATATATATATATATATATATATATATATATAAATATATATATATATATATATATATATATATATATATATATATATATATATATATATATATATATATATATATATATATATATATATATATATATATATATATATATATATATATTCTAATTCAACAGAAATGATCCATAATTCTAAAATATATTCCAAAACCGATAAATTCACAAATACATTCACTACACATATAATTACAAATTCCATATTTCTGGATCCTCACAACAACTAACTTCTAGATCGAAGTATATCAACAAATTTCAAAACTATTTACGACTTTCAGAACTAAAATTATCCAATAGTATGTACATAACATTACAACAACACAAATTTCTATAAACTCTAAGCAAAAGACAGAAAGACAATATATATATACCTTATACAATTCTTATCTCAAGAATGTATTGACACCATTCCTCCTTAATTTCTTCCAATTTGTCTTTCAAGTAAGTACCATACTTGAATTCATCAAAGTATTACATAATATAACATAATATGCATGATTTAGTTTTAAAACTAATTACTCAGATGAAATATCAGTTAAATATTAAAATAAATCATATAAGTTATAAATTCATACCATGTTTGGAATCTGTATTTGACCCGAATGAATAATTTCCTTCATAAACCTCAATACAAAATATCCGCAATCAATCCCATTACGCTGACGAGGACACTGTAAATAGAAAAAACAAACGAATATATATATCAGGATATATAGTTTAACTATTTTTATCAAGTAGAATCCCTATAACAGTCAAAATTGTGAAAATATATTTGCACTCTGATCTAGCTGATGTTGTAGGCCTTACTTTTTGGTATTGTTGCTTGTCTTTGTGATCGAAATTTTGGTATAGCTCTAACATAATATAAACGAATATTTAGAATAATCTCACATAATAAATAAAGATAATTATTCATAACAATATATCTCATCACTTACGTATCAACCATATTCTTTATATCAGGATATTTTGTTTGATCACCATCCAATGAATCCAGATAATACACTATTTCTTTTATCAGATTAATCGCAACCAACAACCAGTGTCTTCCAAAGAAGTAGATTCAACAATAATTGGCTCTGTCTGTTGTGAACTCATTTGAGTATTTTGACTTGTTTTGTGAGACTCCAGTACCGGCAAGGAACTGTGTGGGAATAGAAATGAGTGAGGTTCCGTTAGATGCCAATGATAATCCCAAATGCTAGAGCATTTGGAAGAATCAGGGGTTCGAAATCCAAGTGGAGATGGAAATAAAGTAGGGGTATGATGATAGATAGAATATGTGGATGGTGGTGGATGGATGTTGATATTTTGAGATTGAATTAGGGTTGAAGGAGCAACTCCAACTCCACTCATGTTCGATTGATGGACTACAGGCTTAGCAGGGGTTGGAAATCCAAGTGGAGAGATGGAAATAAAGTAGAGGTATGATGATAGATAGGATAGGTGGATGGTGGTGGATGGATGTTGATATTTTGAGATTGAATTGGGGTTGAAGGAGCAACTCCAACTCCACTCATGTTGGAGTAAATTTCTGTGTGAGATTGATGGACTACATGCTTAATGTTAGGGAGGAGTAAAGGTGAGGTTTGGTTTACAGGAAAGTTGTAGGACTGTGGATGAATGTTAAAGTAGGTTTGAGATTGAGTAGGCTCAACAATCATCTTTGAAGGAACTCTGTCGATAGCCTTTTTCTGACTGAGTCTGTATTTCTGCATCACAATCAACATTTTAGTCGGTGCTTTGGTTAACAATATTCATCAGTAATATAGATATATGTATGCAGACCGAACATTGTTCATCAAGAATTATCAAGAATGATCAGGAATGATCAAGATTTATCAACATGCATGCTACGGAAGGGAAAACATTGATCAAGAATGATAAAGAATAATTAAGAACTATGATAAAGAATATACATGCATGCTGCTTATGGGAAAATAACAACAATATAGATATATATATGTATGCGGACCAGACCGGACAATATTCATCAAGATTTATCAACAACATTAAAAAAGAATCATCAAGATTTATCAATAATCATGAAAATTTGTGAACAACATTGATAAAGAATGATCAAGAACGATGATAAAGAATGTATATTCATCAAGAATGATCAAGAACCGTGAAGAAGAATACCTGGAGATGGCTTGCGACATGTTGCTTGGTAATTCCTTCAACATTCATCAAAGCAACTATTTTTCTCGGAACAGCCGCAAACAAGGAACAATCTTGTATTAGCAATTGATGAGTGAAACATCAAGTATATCTATCCTTTTTGTGTTTGCAAAAAAACATACATACCATGCAAGCCAAGTAATTGAACAGCATCGAGAAACTTTGCATGAAGATGAGGAGTCCAGACGACACGTGGTTTCTTGTTATGTGACAAAGAGACATTGTCATCATCATCTTGCTCTTTCTTCCTTTTAGCTGTTCTGCTGTTAATCACTGCAGCCATTTTAATAAGAATTGAAGTGAATGTGTAATCTATTGTATCATTAAATATAGACAACTGGTCAAATCCACCGCCGTTGATAATGTCTAATATTTATATAGACAGTTTAACCTAACTTAAGTGAGTAATCTTATCTATAGACAGCGTGAAAATAGCGTGGGAGATTTAATATATTTTACATTTCTACATCAATTTTTATAAGTTAAATATTGGGAATTTTAAAAATAAATCATGATTAAAAAGATGAAAAATTAGTCGGAGATGAGTATTTTTGTAAATAATCAAAAAAAAATTATTTTATATTTTTTATTGTTTTAAAAAAAATGAAAAGTTAGTTGGAGATGATGTGTTTTTATAAGGGAATGGATTTTCCGTGTATTCCCTAAGACTAGCTAACATTTAGGTCAAGCAAAAGGTAGTCATGCATCACCACTCCATACATGGTAGAAGTGAACTTCACAATACATGATAAAAAGCAAATGTATTTGTTCTTGTTGACTAATGTGTAACATGTAACTCTTATTATTATTATTATTATTATTATTATTGTTATTATTATTATTGTTATCATTAATTTATTATTATTATTATTATTATTATTATTATTATTATTATTATTATTATTATTATTATTATTATTATTATTATTATTATTATTATTATTATTATTATTATTTTATATTGATTAAATATTAGAATTTAACTATTTTATAGATATAAAATTTATTTATTTTTCTAACATATAGATTTGTACCGTTAAGAAATTTACAGTTCCAAATTCAAAAAAAAAAAAAATTAATCTAAATTTTTTATCATAATATATTAAGAAGTTTTCTGATCACTCTTTTAATTATTTTTTATTAATTTACTCTTTAAAAGAATTTATTTAACTCATTATGATAGTAAAAACATAGGTAAAATAAATAGTAAAAATAATAATAGTAATAATAATAATAAATATATAAAATTAAAAAGATTAAAATTTTAGGGTGTTATATTACTATCCTACTAAAATATTCATCTTCAAAATCGTCCTCGTTTCAACTACTCTATCATGATTGTTTACAATGGACAAATATTCACCTTATTTTAGATAGTTGTGTACAATCAAATATCATCGTGTTGGATATTATAATTTTCTCAAATCAGAGTGGCTATCACTTACTATTGGTAGGAATTCAAAACAATATACATCCACATAAGATCGGAAGTCGAACCAACCGATCCTATCCTCAATCTTATATATTTTATAAGAAACAATATGTTTTGCTCTTACATCTAATGGTTAATAAATTCTTTAATTGAATCAGCATATATATACGCGCATGTGGTGTGTATGTGAGAGCCTGGATGTATTTAAATTTATCATAACTGTTCCGGTATGGGCCCGACCTCGGCAGGCCCAATACCACGTACGGCCCAACAGACGAATCAGGCACGTCGGGCACGCACGTCCCGCAAGACGAGCAGAGCATGTTGCCGGACACAAGCAGCGCATCCAACAGCATCTCGTCGTCCCCTCTTACCAGCCGAACAGAATCTACCCCAGCGCACCAGAGCACGGCCTTGGTTCCTCCCCTCCGCGAGGAGAACAATGCGCTCCGGGGTACCTCCCGAGCTCCCCTCCGCGGGGAGAACAACGTGCCCGGTGCACGTTCTCCACGTGCTCCCCTCCGCGGGGACACGTCATCCCCAACTGCCCACCTCCGAAAGAGCAGGTCAAACCCACTTTCCGGAGACCACGGGACAGTTGGACTAGGGCGAAGACCACGTCCTGGTCTTCACTACGCCACGTAAGCCCTAGCAGTCACCTGGGTTGGGCCTGGCCATCCAGCCCAACACAAGTGACCGTTGGCCCAGCGCTGGGGTCTCTCTATAAATACCCTCTTCCTCAAGAGGGTCAGGTAATTCACATCTTGCCCTTTCTGTACTTAGCCCTCACTCTGTTCGATTTCTTACTTTGGCATCGGAGTGTCTTGCAGGTACACCCCCCTTTTTCTCCTCATCACCGGTGAACAAGTAGCAGCCCAACAGCGTGTGGCCAGCCCGTGATCCCCTCCTGATCAGGTCATATCAGTGGCGCCGTCTGTGGGAACTTGAAACTTCCCCGTTTCTCCGAGCAGAAAACCAAAAGTTTCACCAAACCTCCACGATCATGGCTAGTCCACACCACGACGGCACTCCACACAACCTCGTGCTCAACGTCGCCACCAACGGGAACAAGCAGACAGGAACGACGCGTCTGGCGGAAACCGACGAAAGGGACGGTCAAATTGCTTCGCCGTCATCCGCGGAGCGGCCCCTTCAGGTCGACCACCGGCCCCCGAGCCCGCCAGCATTCCATCCCGTTCCCATCTCGGCGGGAGCGGACCCAACGGTGGCCGCTCTCTTTATGGCCATCAACCAGACGAACCAGCTGCTGTTCCAACAAAATGCGAGAATTGGGGCATTAGAACGCATCGGTCCTCCGAGGTACCCCCCGCGGGAAGACCAGAACGGAGGTTCGAGGAGCCCCTCACCTCGACCCAGAAACCGCCGGCCGCGGCTGGAGAGGCACCGCACACAGGTGACACGAGAACGCACCAGATCCCCAACAAGACACGTTCACGTGAGGAACCAAAACGCCGCGGCGATCCCGACCGAAGACCCCCGAGGCGAGAACTCAGGCAGGAGGTCGAGAACCCGAAACCAGGGGCTTACCTTGAACGGCTCATCTCCCCATCGATCCCCGGCGCACAACGACGAGGACGATTACCGCACCCCGCTGTCCCGGGAAATCATGGCTGCCCCCATACCCCAAGGGATGGAGAAACCACCGACGCTGTCGACATACGACGGCACCTCCGACCCGGACGATCACCTGGAAGATATCGAGGCTATGCTCGACTACCGAAACGTCCGGGGAGCTATCAAGTGCAGACTCTTCCAGACGACTCTGAGGAAAGGCGCTATGACCTGGTATAAAAGTCTGGAGCCCGAATCAGTTACGTCATGGAGGGTCTTGAAGGACCTGTTCTCCAAACACTTTACGGCGTCCCGACGCCACTCGAAGACAGAAGCAGTCCTCGGGGCGATCATCCAAGGCCCCGACGAACCTCTCCGAAAGTACATCGAAAGGTTCACTCGGGAAGCAGTGCAGGTGACGACGTCCGACGAAATGAAACACTACTTAATGGAACAAGGCCTGCGCCACGACTCCAAGTTCTACGAGGTCGTAGGCATACACCGGCCAACATCCCTCCAAGATTTCCTCGACAGAGCCGCGCATTACATCCGATTCGAGGAAACACAAGCGGCCAACTCCGCTCGCGACACCCGAGACAGGGAGGCCCCCCGCGGGCACCGAGACGATGGAGCCTCGAGCCATCGACGAGGAGGAGACCGCCGTCGAGAAGATCGCCCTCGCGAGCCCCGCGAACAACGCGAACCGCGCAGCCCGGCCGGCAGATTCACAGAGTACACAGCCTTGGTCGCTTCACGCGAACGCATACTGGCCGTATGCGCTAAAGCCGAATTCGTGCAGGGAGGTGTCCGTTTTCCGCGACCAACGCCCCCCAAGCCCAACGTGGACAAATCGAAATACTGCCGATTCCACAGAAGCCACGGGCACGTGACAGAAGACTGCATCCATCTCAAGATGCGATCGAAATTCTGATCAAAGACGGTCACCTGAAGAGATACACCCGAGGAGGCGAACCACCTAGGCAAGAGGCTCCAGAAGCCAAGAAAGTCGAGGAACTTCCCTCTCCAGAGGACAACAGCAGGCTCCAGGTCGCATTGTGTGTCAGCCGCCCCGAAGATTGGTTCGCGGGCAGAGAATTCGGTCTCCCCGAAGGGCCCGACCTAATCGACGAGCCAATCCGACCAACCAGCCGGTGGGAGAAGAGCCATGGTCATCTCTGACGGAGCCACGAGGAGTCTGTCCATCGGATCCGTGAAAATAAAATTCGACGAACTCATCGCGAACAACTCCGGCAAAATGAGCACGCTCGACAAATTCCGAGGCCGCTCCAACCCGATCACATTTTACCTCGAGGAACTCCCCGGGGGATCCCCCAATTCCAACATACCCTTGCTCATACGTGCCCGAATGGCAAACTTCGACGTCAGGCGCCTCCTCGTCGACGGCGGGAGCTCGGTTGACATCATGTACTCACACCTGTTCACAACTCTCCAGCTCGACGAATCCAACCTTTCTCCCTACGTAGGCTCCGACCTTCAGGGGTTCAACGGGACGACGAAGAGACCTTGGGGATACGTGGAATTGAAAGTCACCTTCGGAGAAGAGGAAACAACCAGGGACATCAGCATCCGTTTCTTAGTCATCGAATGCCCATCCCTCTATAACTGCATCCTGGGCAGGACGACGATAGCAGAACTCACCGCGGTACCCTCCACCGTCCACCTGAAGATGAAATACTACACAAGAAGGGGGGCCATGGTGACCTTCAACGGAGACATCGAGGCCGCCCGAAGATGTTTCGAAGCCGCGCTGAAAGGCCTAGACTCCATCGCCCCAGCGACCAAGAAGAAAACGTCAAGCACAACGCCAAAGGGCGAATCAACGGAGCTGGTCGGATCCGTTGAGCTCGACAGTCGCTTCACCGGCGAACTCGACCACGAAACAAAGACCAGCAAAGTCAACGGGCAGCCCTCACACCCGGCGCGCCCCATCCCGGACGGAGAATTCGAACTCGTCCCCCTCGGGGAAGACACGAGCAGAACCGTGAGGATAGGCGCCGGACTCCCAGACCTCGCGAAACGACAGCTCCAAGCCTGCCTCCGCGAGAATGCCGACCTCTTCGCCTGGAGCGCCGCGGAAATGCCGGGACTCGACCCCGAGGTCGCCTGCCACCAGCTGTCCATCAGCCCGACCGCAAAGGCCGTTGTGCAACGCCGGCGTCGCCAATCCCCCGAAAAATCGGCAGCGGCCGAACAAGCTGTAAAAGACCTCTTAGAAGCAAATTTTATTTCGGAAGCCCGGTATTCAACCTGGTTGTCCA